ATATTAATAATAAACAACTAAAAAAAATAAGACTTCTCCCCAGAATAAAAGACCCAGTCCATGGGGGCAGGGGTCAACTGAAATGAATAGACATTTCTCAAAAGAAGTACAGGTAGCCAATAAATACATGAAAAAATATTCAGCATCACTGGCCATTAGAGAAATGCCAGTGAAATAATACTGACATTCCATCTTATTCCAGAAAGAATGGCCATCATCAAGAAATCAAATAACAGTGCTTGCTTCAGCAGCACATAAACTAAATTGGAACCATACAGAGACGATTAGCATGGCCCTTGCACATGGATGACATGCAAATTTGTGAAGCATTCCATATTTTTTAATGATATAACTAGGACACGTGTAAATACCACATAGTTTTATAGTGTGAGAAACTGAAAGTGTAAATAAGGACTAAAAGGGAAAATAGATAATGTAAAATAGGAAGAAAAGGGACAGAGGGGAAGGGGAAATGGGAGAGGTAGGGTAAAGGAAAGAAGGGAATGAAATTAATATGAGAAAATGAAAAATAATGGAAACAAGGTCTTTGTAGACAGATAGGGAGGGAAGGAGGGGTTAAAGGGAGGGCAGAGGAATGGGGAAAAAATAAGAACCAAGGTGGATTATGTAAAGCTACAAATTTCCAACAATGAATGTCATTATATTGTATACATTAAATGTACCAATAAAATTAATTTTAAAAAAGATAAAATAATAACAAATGCTGCTGAGGCTGCAGGGAAAAGAAACCTTGTACATTGTTGGTGGTAGTGTAAACTAGTACAACCACTTTGGCAATCAGTATGGAGATTCTTTAAAAAGCTTAAAATAGAAATTCCATTTGACACAGCTATTCCCACTTTAGGTATCTTAACGATATTGTATTGCAGTGATAAATGCATGGCCATGTTTATATAGCACAATTTTTAGTAGTTGAACCTTGGAGTATCTTATCAACACATGAATGGATAAAGAAAATGTAATATTTATATGTGATGGAATACTTCCCACACCATAAAGGATAATCTTCAGTCATTTGTAGAAAAGTGGCTGCACCTTGAATCCATAATATTAACTGAAATAAATCAAACACATGAGCTTAAAAAGCCCGTGGTTTTTCTTATGAGAAACACAAAGTACAAAGAGCAAAATAAAAGATGGACAGCAGGTTGAGTGTCCTCAGGCAAATTGGTTGTTTGTAATAGCTTTCATGTCAATTAAATGAGGGTAATAATGATATCTAACCCATGGGATTCTTTGATAAGATTAAATGATAATCTTAAATTCTTAATACTGAAGTGATATTTAAATTAAATTAATAGGGAAAACATTAGTATAATATAAAATGAAGTTTAGCATAGGGCCTTGTACATTGAAATTCTTAGTGAAAAACTATAATTTTTATCATTGCTTTTGTAATCATTAGTACTAACTTACAGTAACATTTACCAATGTATGCTGTCTCTGCATATAAAATGGACACATACATATATTTTTTAAATTCTGACATATACTTAGTTTTTTGTGTTTTTGAGATATAGTCTAGCTATTGTCCTGGTGGCCCTGAACTCATGACTCTTCTGGTCAGCCTTCTGAGTAGCTGAAATTGCAGTCGTGCATTGCCGCAACTGGCGATGCAGTTAGTTAGACTTGCATTTACAGCCTTCTCTTTCTAATATAACTATTCAGGAAACTTAATCAGCTACTGGAAAAAATTCCTTTGTTGAATATGTGATCAAAAAAGGTTATTTCATCCATGCTATAGTAGAGCCTTTTTAGCATCCAGATTACTCATGTTTGCTGATTGTACTGTAAATCACTGTTTCCCCTTCCTGAACATCTGCCCCTCCCTCTCCTTGCTCTTCCATTCATATAGACATACATGTGCCATATGAATTCTTAATGTATGATTTTTAAACTTTCTTGTTATTAACCACAAATTTCAGTATTCAAGGCACTCCCGCTGTCCCTGTTCCCAGTGGTACCGGCGATTGAGTCTGGCACTTTCACACTGGACTACATCCCTAGCTCTTTTTTATTTTTATTTTGAGAGAGGGCCAGGGTCTCAACTAAGCTGCGAAGTTGCCTGGGATGGGCTCAGACATGAGATCTTCTTGCCTTATCTTCCCAGAGTACTGGGATTACAAGTTTTTGCCACCATGCCCTATATTTTTGCTTGTTTTGTTTTGTTTTGATGCTAGGGATTGAATCTAGCACCTTGTACATGCTAAGTGAGTACTGTACTGCTGAGTGACTTCCCCAGCCCACTTCTTTATAAATGTCATGTATTTTGACACTACTCCTTGGTCTTTTAATGTGTTTAATTTAAATATGAATTGAATACATTATTTCATTTAATTCTTAAAATACCTTTGTGATGGAAGTCATATTTAGTTTTCCCACAAAATACCAAGGCTAAGAGTTAAATGAGTTACCAGTTACACAATTAATAAGCACCACAGTAAGGAGTCAAACTTACTCTGTGATTCCTTGATTTCATTCTTTCCACAGCATCAGAAGAGCATAGAAATTCCCATTTATGCATTGTTTCTGTTAGGGTAGATTACTCCCATAAATATTTTCAGTAGCGATTTTTAGTTGACACAACTTCAGAATAACCTTTCCAAACCTGAACCTTCCTTGTTAACTGGGAGAATGGAAGAATAGATTAAAAATTCTTGAGAAGTGAAAGAATAAGTATTGAATGTGAGAGGGTACGCAATAGTTGTTATTTTAGGTAAATGGACACCTTGTGATTCCTTGTTATCAGCCCAGCCTTTGAGATTCCAGAACTTTGCCTTGAGTGCTTGGAATAGTTAGTTGTTTTGGTACTGAGGCTAAACTACCCCATACTTTTAACTTCTTTTTTTTTTTTAAGCAGTGCTGAGTATTGAACTTGGGCTCTTCATGTTGTGCTACATGCCCAGCCCTTTTAAAATTATTTTATTTTGAGACAAGATCTTGCCAAGTCACCAGGTTTTCCAGCCTGGACTCAGACTTGTGACCCTTCTGCATCAACTTCTCTGAAGTCCTGGGATTATGAGCACGAGCCACCATGCTCAGCTTTGTTAACTTTCAATTGTTAGTTGGCCAAAGCAATCAAATAAATACACTCATTTATAAACAGAGTACTTAAGACCAGTGCTTTAGCCTGCTAGTCAATTCCTTTTAATAGCAAAAATAGCTCTCGTATTCTTAGTTATAAATGTGTTTTGAACTGATATCAAAAGATACAATAAAATGATTTATCATAGTTCAAATTATTTTATATAAGCTATTTAACTAGGTAAAAAGTTGTTTCAAAAACTTTACAAACCATATAGTCAGGCAGTAGTTATTTTATTTGAAGGAAAGTATGTACTGGCTCATTTATGCAGGAGTTGTCTGTGAAGCTGCATCAGAGTAGGTTGATTCATATTTATAGGCATGAAAATGATAATTAATTTTTAAAATGAAGATAGATGCTTTAGCAATGAAAAATAATTCAATACCTACCATAAACCAAATTTTAAGAATGAGGATATGCAAATACTATTTACTAAGTATTCAAGCTAAAGTTGCAGAATGAAGACAAATATAAGATATCAGCAAGGCACTTAGATAGTTCTTTACATTTTGGTTATAGTTCAAGTGGCAGTTGATATTTTTATGGAGACTTCTGTGAAACTGAAAATATTCTTGAAATTCAGAATTGCAACAATTCTTTTAAATGTAAAATGTAACAATCTGAGCCATTCTGGGGTAAAACAACATTTTTGTCTTTGATCATAGCTATTATTGAAACAACTGGTAACATAACATAGTACTATAATTTGAACTAAAAAATTGATTTGTGAATTATATCTACTCAGCTTAAATATCTCCTTCTCCTCTGCAGAGCGTTTTGTACTTTTTTTCCCTGCAGAAATGGCTTAACATAATGTTCCCACATTTTCCCAAGAGAAAAGGAAATATCTTACTTGTCTGAAGTATACCAGAAAAACCCTTCATAGCACAAGTAGAAGAATAAAACATACAATAAGATTTCGAATTTCCCAACCCAGGAAATTAAATTTTTATTCCACTTAACTTTTTACCAGATGTGCTTTGGGTGGGGGTGGACGGAGGGAGGAAGAGGAAGAAACATATCTGTGGTCCTTCCTGGAAGTTGCCTCACATATCTCACATATTTTCTGTTTTTGTGGTGGGAGCATTTGAAATTCTCTTACCAGTTTGAAAGAATAAAATATACCACCATTACCTATAATCACCATGGTGTATCATTTTTCCAAAAACTTATTCTTCCTAACTGAAGCTTTGTAACCCCCAAGCAACATCTCCTTGTTCTTCCTTCCCTTTAGCTTCTGGCAATCACCATTTTACTCTCTTTTTCTATAAATGTGATTATTTTAGATGCCATATATAAGTGGGAACATGAAATACTTGTTTTTTTGTGCCTAACTCATTTCACTTAACAGAATGTTAGCTAAGCTCATTTTCATTATTGCAAATGACAAATTTCCTTTTTTAAAGGCTGAATATTATTTTATTGTATGCATATACCACATTTTCTTTATCTGTTTATTAGTTAATGGAAATTTAGATAGATTCCATAACTTGTGTCCCCTATTGTTAGCATATTAACCATAGTATATCTATCAACATTGGTGTAGTGCTACAAAATTAATATTCACTTAATCTAATTTTATCAGTTTCCCACTATTATACTTTTTCCTCACCCAAGATCCAGTCTAAGATCCCACTTTACATTTAGTTGCCATGTCTCCTTAAATCTGTGATAGTATCTCCTTTTTCCTTTTCTTAACTATCAGTCCATTTTCTGTTGCTATAACAAGATATTTGAAGTTGAGTACTTTGTAAAGAAAAGGTTTACTTAGATCACAAATTTTGGTCCTTTTGGCTACATTACAATGTTGCAGATGGCCTAATGATGGGAGTTGTATACAAGAGGGACAAATTAGATCACAAAACAGGAAGCTAGAGAGCAATTAAGGGTCAGACTTGCTCTTTCATAACAACTTTGTTTCATGAGAACTCATTCCACAAGACCAGCATTAATCTCCTCCAAGGGCAGCACACCCAGTGATTTAATTTACTTAGTCTAGACACCATCTCTTTAAGAGTTCCTTCATCAGTGCCACACTGAAGACCGAATTTACTACAACAAATGATGGGGGAAGGGAAAACATTCAGATTATACCAAAATCACAGCAATGAACTTGACATGTTTTTGAAGGATACTGGTCAGATAGTTTATAGACTGTCCCTTAGTTTGGTTTGTTTTATTTTCCTCCTTCATAGCAAGAACGCCATTGGAATTGTGGTGAAGCAGCATGTTGAT